TAGTAGTAGTAGTAGTAGTAGTAGTAGTAGTAGTACGGTACGGGGCAACAGTTAGTGGATACTCCCCCGCTCCCAGAAACACAAAGTTGGCACGCACGGGGGAGACTGCGGTCGCAGTGGAACTCATCAGACCCACCACCAACTTTGACAGTGGGGGGAGGGGGAGGCGTTGACCGAAGAATGTGGCATGCGTGTTCGCTATTTTCCGAGACCTGTAGTAGTAGAAGTAGTAGCAGTCGTCGTCGTCGCCGTCGTCATCGAACGCCGGTCCTCAAAAAGAGGCCTGGACCACTAGGGAAACACATCGAGAACGAAATCGCGGCGTCGGACGTCTGGGTCCTCCTGCCCCCGCTCCTGGTCACTTCTCCTCCTGCTCCTTCTGCTCCTCCTGCTCCTCCTCCTGCTGCTGCTGCCCTCCTGCTGCTGCTGCTGCTGCTGCTCCGCATCCTCCTCCATCTTGTAGTTTACCTCGGCTCCAATCCCAAAGACCGCAGCGGCTACCTCATCCTTCTCAGTCTTTTCCTGCTCCTGCATTCCTCCTCGTCCCGTTCCTCCAAACAACCCCTCTTTATCGCGCCACCAGACATGTCGTCGGAGCGGGCCGGGCCGCCGCGCGTTTCGCCCAAGACCTCCTCACCGTTCACGATATTGAAGCCAGACATTTCCGAAAAGAGGCTCTCGCAGGGGCGCAGCGCACGCTCGTCTTCAAGCATCCAACACGGATGGGGGTGCGGGTGATTTTCAAAATGAAGCTCCCGCATGTACGTCGCACACGCTCGTCCTAATAAACATCCAACGGCTTCACGGATGCAGGGTGGTTCCTCCTCGCAAGGGGCCCTCGGCTTAGCTCTTCTCAGCAGTACCACCACGAAAGTTACATGGTGCAACAGCCGCACGGACTGAGGACGGCTCCCTGTCAAAATGGGGCTCTCGCATCAGACTTCAGTGCATTTATGCCACTGAATTTAACGTCAGCCCGTATCAGAAGGACGCACGATGAGGATGCAATGGCCTTCGAGGGCCGTTTCGAAGCTCTTCGAGCTGGGCGCGGCCGGCGAAAGCAGGCAAGGCTGGGTCGAGGAGGCAAGGATGCAAGGGCACCCGTGGGAAGGTTGCTCATCTTCACCGTGCGGGTTGCCCAGGGTCAGAAAAAGAATGCAACGGTGAACGGATCGAGAGAGGCCCCTTTCTCAAAGCGGGGCCGTCGCTGGGCACGTCTTCGAGATGTCTGGCCCCACCTCTTGTCGCCTTCTCTGTATATCGAATGCTGGAGAGCAGCCTCCCGCCCGAATCGTGCGCCCATGGGGCACTCGTCTCTCAAGCGGGGCGCTCCGCGCCACGAAACAGACGTCCGTCAGGAGCACGAGGAGGGGCTTTGGCCTGGATGATGCCTTGCAGCATCGTTGGCACTAGTACGTCGTGGGCTCATCCTGGTCCTGCTCCGCCTTGGCCTCCGCGCGCAGACATCGATCCTCCTCGAGCCTCTTTCCTCAGGGGAAGAACGCCTGCACGAATTACAACAACGAGCTTTCGGATTCCTAGGACTGGCGCTGGACCCCCCCCGCCCTCCTCCCCAGCGCGCGGAGCGCGGCTAACCGCGCCCCGAAGGCGCCGCCGGAGGCCCAGCGCAGATCCGAGCGATCCGCGCGTAGCTTCGAGAGCTTACATTTAGATCGGGCATGTCCTCGCACAGGCGGATTTTGGAAGACACATGAAACATAGGCAAACATAATTAGAAGCACGGCCAAGAGAGCGCGACACATCGTCCCCAGACCACTGGTCTACCATTCTCGAACACTCCCCCTCTGTAGAGGGACATGCCCGCCTCGCGTTCATGCCGCCTCTGCGATCCCTCCGGGGCCTGCTCTGCTGCGCCTCCCGGGGCACAAGCTCGGGCCGGGCGAGGGGAGGGGGGGTGTCATTGGGACGAGCGGGGGTGCGGCCACTGCTGCATGCAGGCGGCTTGGCTTCGGCCTCGTCGCCAGGCGCACCGCTCCTCCTCTCCGGGCGTCGGGCGGCGCGGGAGCACCGGCCACGAGCCCGGTCGGGCCTCGCTTCTCGCCTTCTGTCGGGCGTGTCCCCCTACAGTGGGATTTTCGACGAAAAATTAAAAATACCCACAAATGCACCAAACATGTAAAAAATACTCCAAAAATAGTCCCCCGACTATTTTTGGAGTATTTTTTCGCCTCCTCTTCCTCCTTCTCCTCCGCTTTCTCCTCCTCGTCCTGCTCCTCCTCCTCCTCCTCTTCCTCCTCCTTCTCCTCCTCCTCCTTCTCCTCCTCCTCCTGTTCCTCCTCCTCCTCCTCCTCCTCCTCTTGCTACACCTCTTCCTCCTCCTTCTCCTCCTCCTCCTTCTCGTCCTCATCCCCTTCTCAGGTCGGACGAATGGGGGCCATTGCAAAGGGGGGGTTAGATAATCAGCTGCATTCAGCCGACGACCCTCGTCCCTCCTCTAGCGCCAGAGGCGCCAATGCAAGGCAAGGCATGAACCGCACAAAAGCCACAAACGACTCAGGCGTCTCGGTGCACGAGGCACCGAAAATGAGGAAGGGCCCACGCTGCAGGATCGGTCAACAGCACGTCGTGGAGCGGTGCCGCAACCTCCCCTGAGCACGGGCCCCCCCGGAGCCACTGCCAGACCGGTCGGGCTTGCACCCTTGGGCCTTGCAGTCGCCAATGCACCAAAGAAAACGCCAGGCGGCGAGCGAGGGGGGGAAGTGAGAAGGAGAAGGCCTTCTCCAAGGCGGCGAGACTTCTCGGAAGCCCTCGCGCCTTCTGAGAAGTTTTCTGTGTCTTCGGGAAAGGCTTGAGACATTTCTCAGAACGCCGGGGGGCTTCCGAGCCTTCTGAGAAGGCCCGCCCCTTCTCACTTCCGCGCAGGGCTCGCCGCCGAGTTTCTCCTGGCGACACAGGCGCCAATGCACCAAAGAAAACGCCTGGCGGCGACGTCGACATCGGCTGCATGCGCCAGATCTCGCACCCCCCTTTCCGGATCACCAGTGTCCTCTTTCTCGTGGAGGGCTTAACGACTTCTGCCGTCCCTCGACTCGCGCTGGAGCGGCCACAAATTGCTCCAACTTCCCCTGGAGATTCCTGGACTTGCCCGAGCGTGCCAAGATGTACCTGGGTTTGCCGGGAGTTGCTGGCATGTGCCTTGATTTATATCCGGCTTGATCCCCACAAGTCGATTGGCAACAAGTCGTCAAGCACTCAGGGACTTTCCTTGGCGGCGAGCGCGGGGGGGAAGTGAGAAGGAGAAGGCCTTCTCAAAGGCGGCGAGACTTCTCGGAAGCCCTCGCGCCTTCTGAGAAATTTTCTGTGTCTTCGGGAAAGGCTTGAGACATTTCTCAGAACGCCGGGGGGCTTCCGAGCCTTCTGAGAAGGCCTTCTCCTTCTCATTTCCCTTATGTCGGGCCTGTCCCCCTACAGGGGGATTTTCGACGAAGGATAAAAACATACCCCCCGAAAAACCAACAAATAATCCAACAATAGTCGGGGGACTGTTTTTTTATTTGTGAAAACCTTTTTGGGGTAGTATTTTTTGGGATTTGTTTTTAAATTTCTCGTCGAACATCCCCCTGTAGGGGGGCAGGCCCGACTTAACATTTCCCCCCCTCGCTCGCCGCCGATTTCGTCCACCCCGGTCCGCAGACCTCAATCCTCCTGCTGCTCTCGCTCCCGCTGCTGCTATCGTCCGGCCTTCCGGCCGTGCCTCCTGTGCCTCTGCCTCCTTTGCCTCCTTTGCCTCCTCCTCCTCCTCCTCCTCCTCCTCCTCCTCCTCCTCCTCCTCCTCCTCCCTTCTCCTCCTCCTCCTCCTCCTCCTCCTCCTCCTCCTCCTAGCATTTGCTGTGCCAGCTGCGCTCTGGCAGCTCTGGCATAGGGTCTCGACTGATCCTCCTCCTCTCCTCCTCCTCCTCCTCCTCTTCCTCCTCCTTCCTCTTCCTCCTCCTCCTCCTCCTCCTCCTGCCGAGGGGAAGCGCTGGGGGGTGACGGGTCAGGTGGGGCAACCGTCGGGCTGGACTCGGCGAGGCATCTCCGATAGCTCGGCGAGAGGGGCCCCCCGAGAGCGAGCCCGCGCGCTCCTCGGCGGGGGGTGCGCCATCGGGCCCCTGCCGGCGAGATCAACGGGCGCTCTTGGGGTCGATGCATCCCCTCAGCCTCTTCCTCCTCCTCCCCCTCCTCCTCCTCCTCCTCCGCCTCCTCCTCCTCCTCCTCCTCCTCCTGGCTCTCGGGGCACCTCTTCGGGACGATCCGGGCACCCCCGACGCGCTCTCGGCGAGGCGCAGCTGCTGGAGAGCACCCCGAGGCTGGGGGAAAACGCCGAGAGCCGACGCGCACACCCGAAAGCGTTGCCCCTGATCCTATGCGGCCAGACCTGGGACAGAAGAACAGCCCTCAAACACATGAGACCCTCCGCAAGCCAAAGCACGCCAAACCATAAGATCACCGAGGGTCCCCCCCCAGGACGCACAAGAACATGAAACAAACACGAAAAACATTAGGGTACCCTCCCCGAACCGACCTCGACCTTATCCCTGGTTCCCACCGTACTCCTCGCATCTCACCCCTCCTCCTCCTCCTCCTCCTCCTCCTCCTCCTCCTCCTCCTCCTCCTCCTCTGCCCCCGCGGCACGCGCGGCACGGCGGGGGCTGGGGCGGCGATCCTTGTCCCTGGGCCGCTGCTCCCCTGCGGGCCGCTCCGGCTTCTCGCAGAAGGCGCTGGCGCGCGGGGGCATGGCCGGCGTGGGGCCGGATTGGACGTTGACTCTCCACTCCCCTTCCTCACTCCTCCTCCTCCTCCTCCTCCTCCTCCTCCTCCTCCTCCTCCTCCTCCTCCTGCTCCTCCTCCTGCTCCTCCTCATCCTCCTCATCCTCCTCCTCCTCCTGCTCCTCCTCCTCCTCTTCCCTCTTCCTCCTCGTCCTCCCTCCTCCTGCATCCCCTTCCCCTGCACGCAACTCCTCTCTCTCTCACCCCCGCACGTGTCGGCAGGGCAGGCTGGGCAGTTCGCCCGAGGCCTCCGCACCATGGGTGATCCTGGAGCATATGAAGCTTGCAACAGTTTCACGGACCGAGGGCGGGCCGTTTTCAGAATGTGTCTCTCGCCTCAGCGCCGCGCACATTCGTTCTTTTGACGACGAGCGAAGGGGGGAAGTGAGAAGGAGAAGGCCTTCTCAGAAGGCTCGGAAGCCCCTGGCCGTCTGAGAAGTTTTCCAAGCCTTCCCCGGATACATAAAAAACTTATCAGAAGGCGCGAGGACTTCTGAGAAGTCCCGCAGCCTTCCGAGAAGGCCTTCTCCTTCTCATTCCCCCCCTCGCTCGCCGCCGATTCTTAAAGTTCGCAACAGGTTCTCGGATGGAGGGCGGTTCCTTCTGAAGATGTGGCTCTCGCCGTAGCGCAGCGCACGCTCGTCTTTTGAAGATGCTTGCAGCAGTTGCACGGACTCGCATGGTCGAAGTCCCAGTCAGTCCGTTCGGGCTCGATTTGGGGGTGTCAGGGCGCAACAGTCACGTTGATTCGCGGATTTGATGTCCCGAGAGTGGTGTCCTGTGGCGATTTCGGGTTGTCAGGACGATGCAGTCACGTTGATCCTCGGCGTTGAGGTCGCAGGAGTGGTGCTTTGGTATGATTGGAGTCTCCGGCGGACATGATTTGATGGGCCACTTCCCGTAGTGAACATGTTTTTTAGGGACCCATCAGGTGGGAACTTGGAGGGAAGGTGTATTGCTACATCGCTGATGGATCTTAGGTTTGCACTGATTTCCTCCCTCCTCCTCCTCCTCCTCCTCCTCCTCCTCCTCCTCCTCCTCCTCCTCTTCCTCCTCCCACTCCTCCTCCTTCTCCTCCTCCTCCTCCTCCTCCTCCTCCTCCTCCTCCTCCTCCTCCTCCGCCCTGGGCCGCTGCTCCCCCGCTGGCCGCTCGGGCTCCCCGCAAAAGAAAAGCGCTAGAGGGAGGGGTGGGGGAAGGGCGCGGCTGAATTCGGTCGGATCGGACGTTAACTCGCCGCTTCCTCCTCCTCCTCCTCCTCCTCCTCATCCTCCTCCTCCTCCTCCTCCTCCCTCCTCCTCCTCCTCCTCCTCCTCCTCCTCCTCCTCCCCCCTCCTACCTCCCCCTCCTCCTCCTCCTCCTGCTCCTCCTCCTCCTCCTCTTCCTCCTCCTCCTCCTCTCCATCCCTAAATCCCCGCCCAATCGCGCCACCGGACGCGTCCGTACGCCAGCCCGGGCTTTTCAATTGAGAACTCCTGACCGCTTGCTATCCTGAAACCTTCAGCAACCAACAATAGCGCGGATGGGCGCCACTACCTTTTTGGATGCCATGACAATCTACACTCGAACAATCTGATCATCGAATCAAATCTGTGTTTTAATTGAAAAAACATGTTCCCAATCTGTTTCAAACATATTTCATGCTAAAACATGGTTGACACATATTTTGAAACACATGGGAATTATTTGGCAGCATGCTTCCTCTCAATTAATCGACTTCCACAACACTACCTTTTCAAAGTTTGGCTTTCGCCTTAGCGCCGCGCGCATTCGCCCTAGAAGCCCGCAAGGCCGGTTCGTGTTTAAGAACTGACTCTCGCCTGCGACTTCCTCATCGAGTGTGACCACCAGTGTGCACTGGTGCACAGTTTACACGCATCGAAGTCGGCTCCTTTTCAAACTGGGGCTCTCGCTTGAGGCGTTCCTCAAATCACACCAGCCCTCTGGGCGTAGGTGGTTTAGACAGTTTGCCCTTCCACCCCCCTTCTGCCCCTTCGGGGAAGGGTTTACCCCTCCCCCCTATCCCCTTCCCTGGACCTGGACAGGGGGGGATCGCGAGCGGTAAGACAATACTTTTTCGCCCAAGACGGCTCCAAGAGCGCCTCAGAGAGCCCAAGATCACCTCCAAGATGGATCCAGATAGCGCAGGATGGCCCAAGATGGCTTCCAAGATGGTCCAAGAGGTCCCAAGAACGCTCCAAGACGGCTCCAAGAGGCCTTGGAGACCTCCAAGGAGGCCTCCAAGAAGCCAAAATCCTTCAACCACCTGAGGCAAAGCAGTGATTTTTGCATCGTCGTCCTTTCGCTTCCGACAGCCTTCCGAGGCCCCAAGATGGCTCCAAGATGGCCCAAGAGGGCCCCAAGAGGAGCCCAAGAGAGCTTCAATACGACCCTAAGAGCGCCCAAGAGCGCCCCAAGAGGGGTCCAGGAGGGGATTCTTGGGACCCCCGAAGGGAAGGGCGACTTGCGACCATCCCCTTCTTTGATCGATGTCCTCCATGGTGGCCCCAAGAGCGCCTCCAAAGCTCCGAAGAGCGCCCAAAGAGGGCTCCAAGAGGGCCCCAAGAGGCGCCATGGAGGCGCCCAAGAGGCTTCCAAGAGGCTCCCGAAAGGTCCCAAGAGGCTTCCCGAGGCACCCTAGACGCCCCAAGAGGCCTCCAGGATCGCTGAGGGGCCCCAAAGACGCTCCAAGAGGCTTCCCAAAAAAGGCTTCCAAGAGACATCCGAAGAGGCTCTGAGAGGCAATTCGCCTTGAGATCGTTTCTGGATGGGCTGGTGGGGATACTTGTTCGATCGCGAGCGCAAGCGGTCCAACCGCGCGCCGAAAGAAACGAGGCAGCCGCGCCAAGCTCTAACGACTGGTGGGGATACTTTTTGATCGCGAGCGACGCAAGCAACTGCACGCCGTCAAGAAATCGCGGAGCGGAAAAAGAAAGCCGGGCCACTACGAAGACAACGCAAGTGGGGCGAAGACAGCAAGAGGCGAAAGAGAAAGGACAAGGATAATAACGAATGACGAGGCCAAGACGAGAGGAGCGAGGCGAACAGAAACATGGAACTGGTGAAGATACGCGACGCGTCAAGTTTAACGTCCAGGAAGGTCGAGCGCGTCCAACAGCGGCACGAGTGGAGGACGGTTCCTAGTATCCACGGAGGGCATCTCGTGTGACACCTCCGCAGGACGTGCGACCAGGCTTCTCCTCGTTCCCCCCTCCTCCTCCTCCCCTTCTTCCTCCTCCTCCTCCTCCTGCTCCTCCTCCTCCTCCTCCTCCTCTTCCTCCCCGTCCTCCCATCGTACCTCAAGAACCACATCCCAGGAATAATTTCGAGCGCCCCTCCTCCCATTGTACCTCAAGATTGAGCAGGGACCGAGCGTCCCGGCATTCCTATAGTCCTACCAGGACATGTTCTTAGCACCCCAAACTGTTCTAAAAACAAAAACACTGTGTTAAAACAAGACAAGATCAACCATACATGTTCTAAGAACATTTCGTGGAAACCACGAAAGGTTCTTAGAACATTGTTCGGTAGGGCTCTAGGCGAGCCAGGACGCTTCGCCACTGGTTGACAAGAACCACATCCCAGGAATAACTTCGAGCACCCAGAAGATCATCGGCACGGTGTCGAACGAGTATCGCCTCCGAGGGCCCGACACGTGAGAGCCCTCCAAGTTCGGTGCTTCCCCGGTGCTCGACATTCTTTCTGGTGGTCAAGGCTGGGGTAGGGGCCTTGACCTAAGGAGCCGAAAATAAGGAATGAGGCCCCTTTTTACCATAAGTTAAGCTTCGATTTCCGATCGAACACATAAGGAACACTTGAGGCTAGCTGCGAAACACTTAAGGAACGCGGAGCCCCTCCCCAAACAAAAGGGTTCCTTCTTCAGGGCCCCGACTGTAGAAACAGCACCCGTTCCATGGATGTGGGGGCGGCTCCTCTTCAACGCGAGGCGCTCGCGGGACGCCTCGTCGCACTGTCCGCTGTTCCCCGGGCGCATTCCTCACGCACGCCGCTGGAGCGATGCCTCTCTGTTCTCAGGGAGCCCCTTCGACTGACTGGGAGCCCCTTCGGGTGCTCGCCTTTCAAGGGGGGGGCCAGCGCTGCTCACAGCGAGAAAAAGAAAGCGTATTTGGGGGACCTGGGGAGGGACCTCTGGGCGGGAGGGCGTTTTGCAGCATCGCGGATGCACCTCAGATCCCCCTCGGATTGGAGGAGAACTTGGGCAGGGACCGACCGTCCCGGCATTCCTGTGGGCCTACCATGACATGTTCTTGGAACCCATGACATGTTCCTGGAACCCAGGAGTGTTCTAAGAACAGAATCAGCGTCCTCAGAACGAAAGCCCGATGCGTTACAACAAGACAGGCTCAGCCAGACATGCTCTCAGAACATTTCGTGTGCAGACCACAAGAGATTCTCAGACTCTTAGAATCTTTGGTGGTCTGCACGAACTGTTCTAAGAGTCTTGGAACCTTCCCTGGTGGGCCTCTTGGGCAGCCGGGGCGCTTCGCCACTGCTTCTGAAGAAGGCTGCAACGAGCATCGGGCGGAGGGCCGTGGCCCGCTTGGGGGGGCGAGCGCCGCCAAAGGGGGGGCGGGTCAGACGGGAGGGGCCTGGCGCGTCACGGCCCGAGGCAGGTGCGCGAACGAGGGGGGGGGCGCGAGGGGACGCATGGAGAGAAGCCGAGGGGCACGTGATTCCTCCTCCTCCTCCTCCTCCTCCTCCTCCTTCTTGTCGTCTCCATCCCCCTCCCTCCTGCTCTGACATCCTTCCCTTGCTCCTCTTCCTGCCCCGAAGTACCTCATCGTTCTACGAATCGTCGTCGTCCTCCTCTTCCCTCCTCCTCTTCATCCAGATCGAAGGGGAATAAAGGATGTGACACGTAGAGTGATGAGGACGGGGCGATGCGGTGCAACGGATGATACATAAGGAATGAAGAAAGAGGAGGGGTGAGGAGAAGGACAAAGGAGACTGCGTGAAAGAGGAGAGGAGGGGTGGGGGCAACGATGAGCATGAGGAGTAGACGTCGAGTGCGAAAGCGGGGGGAGGAGGAGCAGCAGGAAGAGGAGGAGGAGGAGGAGGAGGAGGAGGAGGCGGAGGAGGAGGAAGAGGAAGGACCATAATCAGACGGACGGAAAGAGGAGGGGTGGGGAGGCTGTGGATCGCTTCCGAGTTCTCTCTGCTCCTTCGGGGAGGTGTGCACGTACCCCTCGCGCACAGGCCCCTGCGCCGCCTTCTCTGGGATCTGGGCACTCCCCTCCCCCGCGGCGTGCTAGAGCGTCCAGGATGGACTGGGAGAGCTCCACGATGGGTATCGCACCATCACTGCAGAGCCAAGCATCCGGAAGGACGCGTGGGCAGAAGAGGGCGCGATTGGCAACCCTTCTTGACTTGCAGGGCGAGAGCCGGAAGCAAAGGGCGCCTCGCGACTGTGAAGCAGGGAAAGGAGAGACCGACTGTGGAGCAGAAGGTGGGCCCAAATGGCCCCAAATGGCCCCCTCAGCACGCCTCCAAGGGACCCCAGTGTCGCCACGGGACGGCACGAGGTGGCCATAGAGCCTCCCAATAATGCAGCCCAGGACGGTTCACCAAGCTCAAGCGGTTCAGTGATCATTGTTTCTCGCTTACTCGCTTGAGATGGGCTCTGAGGCCTCAAGACTGCCCCAATATTGCCCAACAGAACCCCAGGGAGGGCCTCGAGACGGCCCCAAATGGCTCCAAGAGGCACCCCAGCACGTCCTCAGAGAGCTGCAAGCAGGATTTGTCTGGCTCCAAGGAGTCAGCGCTAATCGATGAACTCTTGTTCTTGCTTGTGACGTCCAGGATAGCTCCAAGAGGCCCCTAAGAGACCTCAAAACGGCCTCCAGAGAAGTGCAGGAGAGCGTCAAAGGCCTCCAACATGGGCCTGTTTGAGCTCCAATTTATAACCCCAAGATGGCCCCTAAGAGGCCCCGAGCGGCCCTCAGTGTGGCCACTGGGTGGCACTGCTCGGCCTCAACCCCAGCTTCGGTTTGACCTGTGTTCACGTGTGCTCCCCTGGGCCCCCGCAACCCTCCTTACGACAACCCGCCTAGGAGTCCTTCCTGCATGAGCTGGTGGAGACTTGCTCTCCACGGTGCTTTACATTAAACTACGCAGTGTTTTCTACGCAGTGTTCTCTACGCGGTGATGTATACGCTGTCTTTTCTGCGTTGTGTTTGTTTGTTGTTTACGCTGTGCTTTGTACGCAATGTGTTTTTCCTGCGAGCGTTGCTCTTAACGGTGAGTTGAATTGAACTACGCAGAGTTTCTACAACAGGCTTTCAACGTAATGTTTCACACGCTGTATGTTCTGCGCGGTTTTCTAAATTGCTGCGTTCTTTGCGCTATGCGTTTTACGCCATGTTGTTTAATTGGTTTGGTTTTGCGATGTCACGCGGCACTTTGAGGATGTTTTGTACGGTGTGTATATTTACGAATGAATGTTTGTTTCACGTGGTGCATATTTCGTAATGTTATCTGGTGATCGCGTTCGCACCACTGTTTGCCGGAGAGCTTCCAGCTCCATGATTAAAAGCGTCCACCAAAGGACCGCGAAGTACCCCGCAGGTACCTTCGGAGTACTTTCGACACGCATTCCAGATTCCTTCGCGCACATCCTACCAGCCCTCTGGGCGCAGGTGGTCTAGGGCGTTTCCTTTTCCAACCTCCTTTCTTTCCCTGCTCGGGAGGTTTGCCTCCCCCCTCCCTTGGGTCTGGAAGGGGGGGGGCCGAGGGGTTAGAGCGTCCAAGATGGCCCAAGATAGCTCCAAGAGGGTTTTGGATAGCCCAAGATGGCCTCCAAGATGGCCCAAGGTGCTTCGAGATGGCTCAAGATAGCCTCCAACACGCATCCAAGAGGCCTCAAAACGGCCCCAAGACGGTTTCAAGTGCCCTTCGAACCCTCCAATGATCCCCCCAAGAGGCCAGCACGGTTCAAAACCCGAAGAAAATCAATGTTTTTGTTTTGCCATTTCGCTTGTTCGCTTCCGCTGGGCTCTTTTTTGTTCTGCCAGTCTGGCGATCCCCAAGAAGCTCGCCTGCGCTTGGCTGGAGAGTGACCTCCCGCTTGAGTTCGGTTGGGAAAAGAACCTGGCACCTCCCGGAGACGTCTAGTTGCCGCCGCGGCTTCGATTCAGTTAGCTCTAAGATTGTTCGGGGTCTTGGGGCGAAAACAACTCGCGCAAGATATGAGATGCACATATGGGGATATATAGGGATATCCATATGGGGACATATGTGATCAACAAGAATTCTGATCACATCGCAAGGCCGATGGACCAATGTACTTAGCGAACCCTACTTGACACGTCAAACACGTGTCAAAAGTGCTTCAGGACCACTCCGACCGCCAGGCTAATGCCGACGGGTCGAAGAACAGCAGCCGATCTCAGAGGGCCTTACCGAGCCGATCCCTAACAGAGCCTGGTTCACCACGACGCCGCCATTCCGGTCGCGGTTTCATTCTTCCACCTGGACGCCGACGACGATGCGCGACACTCCGAGGAGAGCTCTTGGACCGCTGGGTCGCGCTCCTCGGTGCCGAGGAGGCCCCCGAAGCGGGCGACCCCGAGCCTGCCGAGGCGCGTTGCCTGCACGTCAAGAGCCGCATGGCGACACGACTGCGCAACGACGATGGAAACGCGATCGTCCATCATGGGGGCCGCCCCAATGAGGAGCTCGAAGATCCTCCTGTTCCTGACAGCGGCTGCACCCTGGAAGGCCCGGAAGGTCGGCCTGACTGTCACGTTGCTGGACAAGACCTCCTCCACGTTTTTACCGAACTCGGCCCAAGGCCTCCACCTCGACGCGGGGGCACCGGCCGGCCGCCAGAGCAGGGCAAAGCGATCGGGCGCGTCATCGACGGACCCATGGGTCGACGTGTGCACGCGGATCTCGCTCCCGCCGACCAAGTCACCTCCAACGATGACCTCCGTTATCCACAAGCCGCAGGGCGACGCACGCGCTGGCTTCACGGTGGCCCGGACCTCGAGCCGAGGCGGGAGGCTCTCGTCGAACGGCGTGCGCAGGAGGACGTGCTCGCCTGGCTGATTGACGTCAAACGAAGCCCCGATCAAATTCGTGACGTGGGGATCTCCCACGGCCGTGCTTGGCAGAAGGGGTGGGGCCCCAGTCGGGCGCGGCGTCGGCGCAGAAGTCGTGGCGGCTGTGGGCGAAGCGGTAGCGGGTGTTGGAAGAGGGCTCGGGACGGGCGTCGGCGCAGAAGTCGGGGCGGCTGTGGGCGAAGCGGTAGCGGATGCTGGAGGCGGGCTTGGGACGGCGGCGAAACGGTAGATCCCCGGGGGATTTACGTTCGAATGCATGCCGTAAAGGTAACCCCCCGAGACGAATCCACCAAAAAAACTTCCTCGCGTTGCTGCAACGTGATCGACAGTCGAGAAATCCGATAAATGAATCCGGTTCACCCACGGCGTGCCGTGCCCAAATACGTAGCCGTAGACCCCGTCTGTGTAGCCAACGGTGAGAGTCACCCTGTCGTCACCCCCCACCTGTTTCACGGGCGGGTTATCGTCGTTCACGTTCAAAACTGACGTGGTCTGGAAGTCATTCAGATCAACTTTGACTACCCACTGGCCCTGCCTATAATCTTCGCTGTAAGCGGGCGGGTGTGTATTAGCGAAGGCATGCGTTACGTATGCGTAGCCGCCAGTCGCGAAGCCTCCCGTCCAGCCTCGCAAGAACTGGTACTCTTGGCCCTCCGCGTGGGCGCACTGCGATGTAATATCTAACGTCTGGACGCCAGATGCACTCCAATCGGTCTTGTCCACCCTGGCGAGCAAATGGCAATTCGAAAAGACGCCCCATCCGTCTGATGAAAAACCGGTGTAATCTTGCCCACTTGCGCCCCCACTCTGGCATGGGATGTAAAGGTGCGTATCCGTCTGGAAGATATCTATCCCCATGCTCTGGAATCCAGCATCTACCGCCGATATGTCAACATACTCGACCGATGCAACGTCGCCCCAGCCAGACACAGGAAACTTGATAGCGTGCGTGTGCATATTGTAGGGGAAGTCTGGCCATCCGAACTTTGTGACGAAATATAAATTGTTACCGTCTGTGAGACCTGCATTCAGGCGGCAGACGTGGTGACCTTGGTTGGCGATGGGGGCAAGGTCAAAAACTTCTGGATTCGTCAAATCTGGTAATTCATACCGCCAGATTTTCGAGTTGGCACATGACCCCCATGTTTCATCCTTCTCTCCGAAATACACATGCCCACCAAGCGCAAATCCTCCAGACACATCGACATTTAAGTCAATACTCGTAGTGGATGTCGTAGCAAAATCGCTCACCGAAAGCGGGAATTTAATCATCTGAGCTGCGCGCGAGACCTTCATGTAGCCAAACTGTCCAGACGGATCGGCGAAATGACTCATGCGTAATTCGGGACCGGGCTGGCTTAACGTTACCGGGCCCTCAATCGAAAATGCCACAGGCGAGCGCTCAGCCTTGTGGGAACTGCTGTTGAAGACATGGACACTGCTCAACTGCATCATCACCGTGTCGTAAACGGTGCTCGCAACCTGCATGTCCGACGGATCCCGTTTTTTCTCCAGCTTGACATGTCCCACTTGCACGACGTCATGGGCCATCAAGCTCGTAGCCTGTGTCGCAATCAGGAGTCTGGTCCATGGCGCTGCCAAAACCGTTGCCATCGCGGCAGACTGAGCGCCCGTAGGTGTGGAAGTGCGAATTGGTGGTTGGCGGATGTACAGTGCTTGAGCCAAAACGGCTACGGATTCGCTTCCGCTGGGCTCTTGAGGCGTCAAGATGGCCCCAAGATGGCCCAACATAGCCCCAAGAGAGGCCCGAGAGGGCCCCAAGACGGCCCCAAGAGCGCCTCAAGAGCGGTCCAAGGGGGCCCCGAGACGGCATGTTTGAGCCTCCGAGGAGGCGATCCGAATTCGACCCCCCCCTCATTCTGAACAACGGGGGCCAAGACGGCCCCAAGAGGCCTCCCAGATCCCCCCAAACAGCCCCGAGAGGGCTCCAAAGACCCTGCAATGACCCTGCAAAGACCCAGCAATGACCCTGCAAACACCCTGCAATATCCAAACTCCTTCCTCCCCTGCTTGGAAGGTTTACCTCCCCCCCCCCTCCCTGGGCGTGGCTCATAGCAGCGTCTAAGATGGTCCAAGACGGCTCCAAGAGGGCCCTAGAAAGCCAAACATGGCCTCCTTCTCCTCCTCTTTTTTTGTTTTTCCTCCTCCTCCTCCTCCTCCTCCTCCTCCTCCTCCTCCTGCTTCTCCTCCTACACCCAAGATGGTCCCAGCACCAGCACCACCACCAGCAGGAGCACCACGAGCAGCAGCACCAGCAGCAGCAACACCAGCAACAGCAGCAACAACATCAACAACAGCAGCACCAGCAACAACATCAGCAGCAGCACCGGCAGCAGCACCAGCACCTGAGAAATTTCGAAATGCACGCGAGCTAAAGATACAAATCAGTGCAAGGGCTCAGATCAAGGATGCCCATTGAGATGCGGCTCTAACCTGCGCGTCATTGGCGTCGGATCGTAGATACAGCAACCTGCGCCAGATACGCTCACCACAGGGAACACCATGGCGCATCTTGCACTGATTTCTGTCTTCTATTAAGCTTCACTGCGCGGAGCTAATGAACCTTCCGAAAAGGCTGTGCGACCGCGTGCTTCCAGGCGTGCCTGATTAACCGGCTCACCTGGTAATCGTTTCTAGATTGGCTGGTGGGGATGCTTTTTTGGTCGCGGCCGCGAGACACGCATCAGGCGGCGAAGGCAACGTCCGGGCCACGGGCGAGGCTAATTGGCTAAAACATGAGCGTCGGCCGGCCACCTCACCGGTGGGGATACGCGAAGCGTCAAGAATCTGTTCTCCTTTTGCAGACGCTTTCAACTTTTGGAGCTGAGAGCCCTCGAGCAAACAGGAGGGCAACGCAACAAACCATACACTTGCTGCAGACAAGACCGCGCCTCCAAACGTGACAAATTAAATGCACATGCCAAACTAACTGCCTGCGCACACTTCTGGATCTTATTCGCGAACCAAGTAGTTTTCCGGTTTGTGGCAGGCACATTTGGATTGTCGTTGCTGGAGGCGTGCTCTTGTGGTAGAGCATGATGGGGGTTTTAAACACAGCCGAAAACGCAATATTTTCTCTACGCAATGTTTGTTTCCGCAATGTGTTCGACGCAATGTTTTCAACGCTGTATGTGTTACGCTGTTTTCTACGCTGTGCCTTTTTAGCCGGGTTCGTTCGACGATGCCATGCGGCACCTTGTGGATGGACAAGGACAGAAGGCCACGTCTCTCCCTACCACGCCCTACCACACAGTACTACATAACACATCAGTAAAGCAACACATAGTAACACAGCAGAGCGCAGAACACACAATGTAGAAATCACTGCGTAGAACACTCTGCGTAGAACACGCAGCGTTCGGGAGTGTTCGAACAAGCGCCCCTAACGTATTGCTGTTTGGCAGAAATCTTACCCTGTCACGCTCCACAATGCAACACTCCATACCACAGCCGTCAAACAGTACAGCGTAAAATAACACAGCGTAGAAAACACTGCGTAGAAAACACTGCGTAGAAAACACGGCGAAGAAGACGCTTTGTTTGGGAAGGGTGTCGAGCAAGCGCATTTCAATTATCGCTTTTTGTTGCACAATCTTTCCCGACTACGCTCTACCAAATTCCACACCGCAGCCGTAAAACAGTGCAGCATAAAACAACAAAGTGTAGAAACCACTGCGCAGAAAACACTTGCCCGACAACTGTCAACTCGAAACGTAAGGCGACTTCAAATGGAATACCCAATTGTGCGGAGGAATCTGGGATGCGCGTACAAACTCTACGTAGCAAGCACTACGTAGCAATCACCACGTAGTAAACACGACGTACTAAGCACAGCATAATAAACACTACGTAGCAAACAATACGTAGAATCGCGAGCAAAACACTACGTAGCAAAAAATAAAACACTACGTAGAATCACGACAAACCAGAATCGTAGCAAACAATACGTAATAAACACTACGTAGCAAAAAATAACCACTACGTAGTAAACACTACGTGGCCCGCTTGGGGGGGCGAGCGCCGCCAAAGGGGGGGCGGGTCAGACGGGAGGGGCCTGGCGCGTCACGGCCCGAGGCAGGTGCGCGAACGAGGGGGGGGCGCGAGGGGACGCATGGAGAGAAGCCGAGGGGCACGTGATTCCTCCTCCTCCTCCTCCTTCTTGTCGTCTCCATCCCCCTCCCTCCTGCTCTGACATCCTTCCCTTGCTCCTCTTCCTGCCCCGAAGTACCTCATCGTTCTACGAATCGTCGTCGTCCTCCTCTTCCCTCCTCCTCTTCATCCAGATCGAAGGGGAATAAAAGATGTGACACGTAGAGTGATGAGGACGGGGCGATGCGGTGCAACGGATGAAACATAAGGAATGAAGAAGGAGGAGGGGTGAGGAGAAGGACAAAGGAGACTGCGTGAAAGAGGAGAGGAGGGGTGGGGACAACGATGAGCATGAGGAGTAGACGTCGAGTGCGAAAGCGGGGGGAGGAGGAGCAGGAGGAAGAGGAGGAGGAGGAGGAGGAGGCGGAGGAGGAGGAAGGGGAAGGACCATAATCAGACGGACGGAAAGAGGAGGGGTGGGGAGGCTGTGGATCGCTTCCGAGTTCTCTCTGCTCCTTCGGGGAGGTGTGCACGTACCCCTCGCGCACAGGCCCCTGCGCCGCCTTCTCTGGGATCTGGGCACTCCCCCCCCCCGCGGCGTGCTAGAGCGTCCAAGATGGACTGGGAGAGCTCCACGATGGGTATCGCACCATCACTGCAGAGCCAAGCATCCGGAAGGACGCGTGGGCAGAAGAGGGCGCGATTGGCAACCCTTCTTGACTTGCAGGGCGAGAGCCGGAAGCAAAGGGCGCCTCGCGACTGTGAAGCAGGGAAAGGAGAGACCGACTGTGGAGCAGAAGGTGGGCCCAAATGGCCCCAAATGGCCCCCTCAGCACGCCTCCAAGGGACCCCAGTGTCGCCACGGGACGGCACGAGGTGGCCATAGAGCCTCCCAATAATGCAGCCCAGGACGGTTCACCAAGCTCAAGCGGTTCAGTGATCATTGTTTCTCGCTTACTCGCTTGAGATGGGCTCTGAGGCCTCAAGACTGCCCCAATATTGCCCAACAGAACCCCAGGGAGGGCCTCGAGACGGCCCCAAATGGCTCCAAGAGGTACCCCAGCACGTCCTCAGAGAGCTGCAAGCAGGATTTGTCTGGCTCCAAGGGGTCAGCGCTAATCGATGAACTCTTTTTCTTGCTTGTGACGTCCAGGATAGCTCCAAGAGGCCCCTAACAGACCTCAAAACGGCCTCCAGAGAAGTGCAGGAAAGCGTCAACGGCCTCCAACATGGGCCTGTTTGAGCTCCAATTTATAACCCCAAGATGGCCCCTAAGAGGCCCCGAGCGGCCCTCAGTGTGGCCACTGGGTGGCACTGCTCGGCCTCAACCCCAGCTTCGGTTTGACCTGTGTTCACGTGTGCTCCCCCGGGCCCCCGCAACCCTCCTTACGACAACCCGCCTAGGAGTCCTTCCTGCATGAGCTGGTGGAGAGTTGCTCTCCACGGTGCTTTACATTAAACTACGCAGTGTTTTCTACGCAGTGTTCTCTACGCGGTGATGTATACGCTGTCTTTTCTGCGTTGTGTTTGTTTGTTGTTTACGCTGTGCTTTGTACGCAATGTGTTTTTCTGCAAGCGTTGCTCTTAACGGTGAGTTGAATTTAACTACGCAGAGTTTCTACAACAGGCTTTCAACGTAATGTTTCACACGCTGTATGTTCTGCGCGGTTTTCTAAATTGCTGCGTTCTTTGCGCTATGCGTTTTACGCCATGTTGTTTAATTGGTTTGGTTTTGCGATGTCACGCGGCACTTTGAGGATGTTTTGTACGGTGTGTATATTTACGAATGAATGTTTGTTTCACGTGGTGCTTATTTCGTAATGTTATCTGGTGATCGCGTTCGCACCACTGTTTGCCGGAGAGCTTCCAGCTCCATGATTAAAAGCGTCCACCAAAGGACCGCGAAGTACCCCGCAGGTACCTTCGGAGTACTTTCGAC